TAAACTTTATCATTTTAATCATTTATATAGTTGTACAGTTGACATCTTTCGTTGTCACATGCATATACTCAAAATACGTTTTTATATTTCAAAATGTTCAATTTGCATTCAGCAGTCATTTGATTTTAGATTTTTTTTATTTAGCTGTTTTCAAAAGATAAACTAGTGTCAGTATTTGTAAAATATATTGCAGCATCGGGAATCATTTTTAATGTGATCATTGTATTGTGATTTCATGTTTATACGACTTTCTGGCTCTCGTCTCTTATACAAATTTTGTGTAATCTCTACAAACTGAGTAGTAATCCAATCTTCCGGAAATTATTCTACCCAAAAATATGCCATTAAGTTTTGTACAATTAAACAAATGACTGCAGAATAGATGTGCTTAGCTAAATTAAATTACATATTTCGTTTTGTAAAGTAACGTATGACATACATAGTGTATCGGTACCTTGGAGTTTATCAAAGTCAATTGTTTTCTTTATATCACTAAAATATACAGGAAAGATTGTTCATCTATCTATTAAAAATATATCGTTTCATTGTTCTGGATGTCTTGCATAAGGAACTGCCCCGGTATTTGATAACTACGTAACTTTCATCTTTATACAATACAAAAGGTTTTCGATAATACGGAAAAATAAATAATCCGCACCACTTCTAAATTTTTTTACCTGCAATTTTCGTCAATTATAAAGTTTGTTCAGAAAGAAGCATCTAACATCTTGCAACTTAAACCTTGTCAACAATACTTCGTACGAAATGAGGAAACCGAAGTGTCGAAAGAGTTTGTATACATACATGTTTCTGTATAAAGTCAGACTTTCTGGGCTATGTCTTATTCGTTCGTATTTGTCTTTGTATGTCAGTCTTTCTTTCATTTTAGCAAAGGGTTAATTGCCACACCGGAAAAGCCAAGAGATTACCATATTTCTTGACCCCATTCACCTGTTGGGGTCACTTAACAAACCACCTTCAGACTCCCTTAATCAGTTTCTTTAGGGTTCCTTAACACTAGGACAGCGTGGCACACTGCCTACACTAGACATGGATTTATCGTCCCATTTCGATCGAATGTGTCTGCGACTTGATAAAACCTGAACAGACGTATAGATTCTCCTTTTTAGTATGGGTTTAACTTCCGGAGAAGAGGAGTGACTACAGTTCTGTGTGCTACTCAGCCCTTTGGATCAAAGCTGTCCGATCGCAATTAAGATATAAAATTAAAAGTTAAAAGCTCCATGAATGCTTATTCCATTTTTTGGAGCATTTCCAAGTTGCAAAAAAGGTGAGAGGTTATCTTGCATTCGTGTGGTGTGCTGCCAGGAAAAACGTGGATTTTTACAGCGTGATTATCACTCAAAATATACAAATTATAATGCAGGAAACTATGTATGTATTAATGATTAAAATCAAATGAAATGATCAAAAGTTTGAGGCATTAATTTCCGTCCAAATCTTTATATAAAAGATATTTATTGAATGTCCACGAGTCCGAACATACCTTTGAGATATGTTTATTTTTAACCTAGAAATCTTTCGTTTGTCATAGATAACAGTACATTTCACACAAAAGATATTTTTAGTAAGAGGATTACAAATATGGGGGAATCCGCTTTCTACTTTCAAAATTATTTATTGTGAAATATTGCCATAGATTATAAAATCACGGGTAGTTATGATATCTCCACTAATCTGTAGCAAACATGAAAGTAACTTATTTACATTTAATCTTAGTTGGAATAACTCTCGTATTTGTATCTATCACCAAGATACATTGTGAAAATATTCAAGGTATGTAAAATATTAATTATTATCACGTTTTGCGGAAATGCAAATTATTTCATGATTATGTTCATTAAGTATTATATCTCATGTTGTTTTAAAATATGGTAACGTATATCGATTCAATGTTAAGGTCAAGTTAGCGTATTACAAAGGTTTTATAATCTATTTATCACCTTATTAGGTATAACACTTAGATCATTTCGGTTATTTGTTTCCTGAAAGTAAAACATATATATATTTAGCAATCCCTGGGGATAACAAATATCGGTCACTTTTCGTAGTCTGGGATCATTTGGTAAACTCATAATTTGGATTTTTCTTTGACCTAGCCATAAGTAACTGTGAGTACTCCCCAATCGTATTTAAAACCGGAAAATTCCTTATGTACCTGTCATTATTCAAGAGCCTGTTATTCCGTGGTTTTGGTTGGTTTCTGTCTTTTTATTTGATGTTCGTTTCTTGCTTTAAGCATAAGTCAGGCCGTTGGTTTTCTCTTTTGAATTGTTTCACAATTGGTTATCCTAAGGCCTTTAAGTGTTTACTATACGGTATGGATTTTGCTCATGGTTGAAGGCAGTACAGTTCTATATACAAAGAAATGTCCTCGTCCTTTGGTCACTTGTAGATTCTTATAAATTGTCTTATTTCGAATCGTTACATTTATTCCTATCTTCATATGTTAGGGACAAGTAAACAAAACTTTCTTTAAATTCGCCCAAAAAAGAAGATTTAGATGGTATGCTGATATTTTAACAATTAGATAATTATCATAATAGTAAAACTCAATTGTGTAGTAAGGTAGAACTGTCAGAATCACTTCTATGATAAAACAGTCAGAATCAGATCTATGGTAGAAATGTCATAATCTGTTCTATGGTAGAATTGTTAGAATCAGTTCTATGATTAAACTTTCATAATCAGTTCTAAGGTAGAATTGTCCAAATATGTATTAGGGTAGAAAAACAGAGGCGAAAGATATCAAAGGGATACTCAAACTCAAAAGTCAAAAACAAACCGACATTGCCATGGCAAAAAAACGAAGAAAAGAGCAAAACACATTACACAAAACACATCATAGAAAACTGAAGACTGAGTAACACGAGCCCCAGCAAAACCCCGAGGGTGATCTGTAAGAATCTGTTCTTAGGTAGAAAAGTTATAAATGACGTATATAATAGCAGTCCTTTCATTATGATTTAGAATAAGGGCATCTAGCAGGATTTTCTACTTAAGTCATATTGTGAATAAATTAAAGATTGAATAATAAAAATCATGAAAGTCATGAATAAATGGTTCAATTCTGTTTTTTCTCCAGCTTTATAATCACTTTTTTTAGAAATATCGCTAACACAGTTAGGAAATATACTTCTAATAGTTCCGTACCATTGACAAAAATGCTAGTTATGTATTATCTTTAGGAAGACAAGTTCAAATGTATAAGCGCTGTTTATGATTTGGAACACTATTTGGTTTCAAAGTGACCATATCGTATTCTCGTGGAGTGATATAAAACCTAAATGTACCTGATATTACCTGACATTATACAATCTTATATTTCGATACATATATGTTTTATTATTAAGTTGATGTTGGCAAGCACTAATATTTAACAATCTAAAAATTAAAAGAGGCGGAGAAACCAAAAGGATATATTCAAACTCGTATGTCGAAAACAAACTGATAAGCCAGGGCAAAAAAAAAAACGATCAAAAGAGAAAACTAAAGACTGAACAACACATACCCCACCGGTAGTGGTCTCAGGTACTCTAGAATGGTTAGCAGATCCGGCTTCACATGTGGCACCCGTCTTTTTTTACTCATAAAATACGTTGAAAGTTATATCAAGTGATAAGGCATCACGCAATAACGGATCGGTAATTGACTCTTATCTGAAATTAAAACATTACCAAATAAACAAACCATCGGTCATGTAAAATTGTTTAACCGAAAAGCCTGACCAAATGTGAAATGTGAAGATGAAATTAAAAAAAAATAACAATTATAAATAATGAATCGTGAAAAATAACAATGATAATTATATATTCAAAAAATATTTTCTTTGAAACAATAGGTGTAAAATTTGTAAAAAAAAAGAAAGAAAGAAAAAAAAGAAGGAAGGAAGGAAAGAAAGAATGAATGAAAAAATGGAAGACAGAAAGACAGAAAGAGAGACAGACAGAAAGAAAGACAGACAGACAGAAAGAAAGAAAGAAAGAAAGAAAGAAAGACAGAAAGAAAGAAAGAAAGAAAGAAAGAAAGGAAGACTATCTATATGAAAATAGATATATTATAATTAACAAAATTAATAAAAAAACATTGTTTTGATAGGTGAAATTAAATAAAAAGATTAGATAAACAACTTTAAAATTAAATAACTATTTGAATATATAAAGATGTGTCCAAAACTGAAAGAACTGTCAACATCTGTTGTGCGGTAGAATTGACAGAATCAGTTCTAGGGTAAAATTATCCAAAGCTGTCCTAGGGTAGATCTTTACAAACTGTTCAAGACTAATTGTTAAATCCTTTTAATAATAAATAATACCTCGAATCTTAGGGAGTCCAAGCTGTGATTTGGGAAACAACAAAAATGATTTGGATCAGAAAATAAACTGAAAGTCCACAAAAGTAAAATACGGTTAAGATTGTGAGAACGTTGCAACAAAGTTTTATAAGCGTATGAAAATTTAGTTTGGTTTTCACAACACTTAGCTCTTCTCCTTATTTATATCTATTAGTAGAATAAAAATAGGTACATTTTTGCGCCTGTCCCAAGTCAGGAACCTCTGGCCTTTGTTAGTCTAGTATGTTTTTTTTTAATTTTAGTTCATTTATATGTTTTGGAGTTTAGTGTGACGTCCATTGTCACTGAACTAGCACACAATTTTAGTTAGGGGCCAACTGAGGACCACCTCCGGGTGCGGGATTTTCTCGCTGCATTGAAGACCCATTGGTGGCCTTCGGCTGTTGTCTGCTCTTTGGTCGGGTTGTTGTCTCTTTGACATATTCCCCATTTCCATTCTCAATTGTACATAGTAGAACGTACTATAAACATCACTTAAAAATGACTTTAGACTAATAACGTTGATGTTTTCCAATTATCTTGGCATGGAATGTTTACATCCAGCTATTCTTTGTAAGGATTTGAACTTAATCGCTTTTGAAGAATACCTTCACACATTTTGTAATTGAAGACAAACAAATACAAAATGGCGTTCAGTTTTTGTAAATCAAGGTTAAATCACATAGAAAAACAGTTATTAAAATAATAATTATCATTATAGTCGGAATTTTAATTTAGTTCTACCATGGAAGTATTAAATCAAAATAATACTTCCATGGTAGGACTAAATTAAAATTGCCGACTATAATAATAATAATTTATTGTTACGGTGTTAAGTTCATGTAAAATCCAATTCATTTAAAAAGAAAAACATTTCATTTTCTCCATTCTTAGAAGAAATTCATAGATTTGTTCTTCAACCGTTAAGTTACATAAAGTTATTATTTTACCATGGCAGGAAAGCTATGTATCCTCTTAAAGTTTACTTTTTAGTAAAGGTTTGATCATCATTGGAGGCCATGCAATGTCCGAAAGTTGGTTGCAATCGTACTTTGGTCTCGAGTGGATAGTTGTCTTACAGGCAATCATACTTCATCTCCTTAATATTATACTGTAAACCAACTAATTTTCGCGAACGATTTATTTTCGCGACTTTCGCGAATAAAAATAACGCGAATATAAATCGTCGCGAGTATGTAAAACTTGTATTTTTCCTTATTTATCTGCTTCATTTAAATTTGAGAATCCCGAAATAAAATCGCCGCGAAATGAACTAGAAAGGGCTAAACGCGAAATAAAGTATCCGCGGTGATAAGTTGGTTTACAGCATGTATACTTGATTATACCACGACGACGTGATGGTGTCTATAGTTCACTCGATACAGTTAAAGTATCAATTTTAAAAGCGAGGTTTACCAAACATTTTTTAAACTGAAAATTGAACTATGCAGATTGAATTTATACTGTTGACAACGGAGCGAAATGGTAAAATGGCAATGCTCATAAAAATTTTGCAAGACACAACATAAAGTGGTGAGCTAATTTGCCTTCTTTTTTTCTCATTACAGGGTCAAACTTAGAAAGTTGTTAAAACCCACTGAGATTCGAATATTAAAGAGTCAAAATATATTATATTTAACAAAATCATTTTTGATACTTCCATATAATATATTTAGAGTTGAAGACCATTATGCAAATTTCACGTGATATTGTATCATAGAACATTATTCATTTGTATCTGAAAGACACAAAATACCCGACGCATAATCTAAAAGACACGTACATGTAGTGGTCAAACAAAAGGTATTCAGCAATAGACTAGGGTCTAAACAAAGTGTCAAGATCTTAATCAGCCCAATTTAAAACATTCATACTATTTTGTGTATTTGTTATTTGTCTGTGTAGGTTTCTGTGTATAAAATGTATGCCACACATCTCTTTACATTTATAGAAATAGATGTTTCAAAAGGCAGAATTTTATAAGAATAAGTAAAGTTAATTTTGTTTTCAGATTGTATAAATTGTTCTGATGGATGTAATAATCTGACTGGCTATTGTAACGGAAGTTGCCTGGATGGCTACTATGGATTCGAATGTAATTCGACCTGTCCACAAAACTGCTATCATAGATGTGATAGAAGTACAGGCGAATGTACATATTGTAAGAGATCCTATTATGGTGTAAACTGTACAGAGACTTGCCCAGAAAGATGTTACAACAATTTTTGTAATCAAAGCGGATTTTGTACATTTTGCAAGAGATCTTTCTATGGAGATCATTGTGAAAAGAATTGTCCTTCAAACTGCCGCGAGGGTTATAACTGTGACCAACATACCGGTAAATGTATACATGGCTGTAATGATGGGTTTTGGGGGAAGTCATGTGAGAACAATTGCAATGACAGGTGTGAGTGGTCTTGTAAACAAACACATGGCATTTGTCATATATGTAAACCTGGATACGGTGGTTACAACTGTCAGTTGAACTGCATAGCACATTGTGACTCGTGCTACGAGAATGATACTTGTTTCGAATGTTCAAAAGGCTGGTTTGGCGACAAGTGTGAACTTCAATGCCCAGTTAATTGTCGAAATTCGACGTGTTTTAAATTTGACGGTTCTTGTACCTGTTCAAAAGGCTGGTATGGTGAAGATTGTCATCAAAAATGTATCGAAAAATGTGATTCATGCATCGATTATAGCACTTGTAATGTATGCTCAGCGGGATATTATGGTAGATATTGCGAAAGTTTTTGTCCTACTAATTGTACAGAATGCTCAAGGGACGGTGAAAAATGCACCAGATGTAACTCATCGAAACACTTTGGTCACCAATGTACATGCGACTTGGACCAATGCTCGAAACATGATATATGGTGGAACTGTGTCGAATGTAAAAATGCTGGTTGGTATCCGAAAATAGGTGGCTGTTGTAGATGCAGTGAAAATTGTAAGGGCGGACATTTAAAATGTGATAATACCACTGGCGTTTGTTTAGACGGATGTGAGCCAGGATATTACGGGACATATTGTGTCGATAAATGCAGTAGCCATTGTATCGGAAATGACACTGTTTGTAATTCCACAACCGGTATATGTCCATATGAATGTGAACCTGATTGGCATTATTCCACATGCAAATACGGATGTTCACTGCTGACGCCACACTGTGCTAAATGTACACAATTTAAAAATAAACAAAATTTTGAACATGCCTATTGCGATTCCTGCGGCGACGGGTTTTACAAACCCTTATTGGAAGACTTTTGCGCACCTTGTGAAAATTGTTTAAATGACAAATGTAATGGTAGTACAGGACATTGTCTTGAAGGTTGTAAGCAGGGATGGTATTTGAATACTTACGGGTTCGGAAAGTACTGTCGGCAATGTGAAATTGGCTGCAATGAAGGTTTGTGTGACCCAACCAACGGAACATGTATACAGGGATGCAAAAATGGTATGACAGGTGACAAATGTTATTTTCCCTGTAGCGACGAATGTTTAAACGCAACTTGTGATCAGTTTTCTGGTGATTGCTTTAAATGTAAACCGGGACTTTATGGTAATAAATGCTATTACGGTTGCGGTGACTGTCTTAGAGAAACATGTAATAAAACCACTGGCATTTGTGAAGGTATGTATATTAAAATCCATATGTGATCAGTTGAACTATCAAGGATTTTTATGGTTTTTATAACGACATTCCAAAATATACAATTGAATTTACTCAAACAAAAGTTAACAGAAATAATATAACCAGTGGTAAATCTATATTATTCCATTCCCTTTGATTTACATTTATATACTGTAGAAGCATTATTATTCTCGAATTTAGAATATCGTGGTTTCATCTCTTAGTTGTTTTTCATCGCGATTAATTCTTGTGGTTTAAAATATGTGAAAGTAATATTTTTTGTTCAGGGGATAATACAAATGAGCTAATTGGTGGCCTTCGGCTGTTTTCTGCTCCTTGGTCAGGTTGTTGTCTCTTTGACACATTCCCCAATTCCATTCTAAATTTTAATGATAAAAATTCAAACAGTTATTTAAAAATACTTATTTTTTACCTTTAAAACATTTAAAGTAGCAATTATTAATATTACTCCCAGGCCTGTTCCCCTTATAAACAAATAAAGGGTAACACTATTAATATGTCTACACATGCAATCCATGTGGTTCAACAGGCGCTTTTCTCTGAAAAAAAATGTAATGTTTTTAAAACTCATTAATACAAATTGAACAAAAAATACAATGCAATGAATAAATATGAAACAAAATGGGTAAAATAATTCAAAAGAACAAACTAACATTTTTTTAGATTGATGATGATTTTTCATTATTTGCTTTACGTCCAGTGGAAATATTTCATGCAAGTTCAGGACGAGAACAAATTAATATTGATACAATAGGTAGCTCCTATAGTAGAGGAATTTGGATTTTTTTGTTTTTGTTTATAGCAAAACATACATTATTATTGATAGACTTTTGTAGAATGCAAACAGAAAAATATATCATACAAAAAAAATACAATTTATTGCACTCAAGCAAGACTATATTCTATATTCCAACGTTTCACATGACATGATATTAAACTGGTTTAAAACTATATTAATCTATATGTTTTTTGTTTAGATGGTTGCAACTATGGTTTCTTTGGTCAAAAATGTTCTCAATTGTGTAAACAGTGCATGGGTTTAAAGTGCGATAGACAAGGTGTTTGTATGTCAGGTTGTTTTCCTGGTAAATTTGGAAGTAACTGCAATGAAACATGCGCAGATAATTGTTTGATTTGCCATCCAGTGACTGGTAAATGCCTTCATGTATCACCTTCATGTAATAGTACTAACTGTACAATGAATTTCACGAATTCTGTGTGTCCGCCTGGAAAATTCGGTTCTTATTGCAATCATACATGCAGCATAAGATGCTCAAATAGCTCATTATATGGTTATATGTGTGAAAAATACAGTGGTTCTTGTATAGAAACTTGCGCTACAGGTCAATTTGGACTATTTTGTAATGAATCATGTGGGAAATGTGCTTCCGCAAATAACACGTTGACTTTATGTAATCCAGTGAACGGAAACTGTGTAAACTGTTTAAAGGGTTATTATGGAAAACAATGTTTTCAAAAGTGCAATGAATCGTGCTTTGACAAAGACTGTTATGATGACGGTGTGTGTGCCCTGGGATGTGAATCAGGATGGGAAGGTACATTTTGTGAAGGTAAATAGGCCGTTTTTATACCTAAATGTAGTTTCAATTTTCAAGTGAAAAAAAATCATAGCATGTATGGTTTTGTTAAAAAGGTAAAAAAAAAAGAGAAAAAAATAATGTCCATTGTAGGCGGAGAAAAATAAACTATACTTAAAGTTGCTTACATCTACATCATAAAGTATCTGGTTGAAGTTATATCTGTTGTGGATCTGTCTATTATAAAATAACCTTTTATGTACAGTAAAATTGGTACCGTTATTGTTATTGCCTCATTGACAATCATACCACATCTTATTTTTATATAGCTATCAAAAAGTCTAAATAACCCATATGGAAAAGTATGTCATTTTTGTTATTATGTATTTGCTGATGAGGTTTGTTGTTCATAGTTTCTGTCTAACTATGATAGGAGAAACACAAGTTAAAATCAGTCAAAGGCGCTATTTAAGTTCCAAAAATACCACAAGAACACGATAAATGGGTTCAGTCATATTGTAATTGTTGCAGATCGTGCATTACTGATTACTTTTACTGGTTGGTTTTCATTTATGTATTATATTTATACACATTATAGCAAGAAATACTATAAAATAATGCGTTACAAGTCTTCAATTAAAAGCAATGACTCCAATATGATGTCAATTTATGGTCAAAGTTATATGAGCTTTTTTGTTGATCTTTAATTATTGCAAATGACATTATTCCAAAGATAACCATTACTGCGAATATATATTTTAAAAGAAGCGTTTGGTGTGTATTTTTTTTTTTTTTTTTTTTTTTTTTTGCATTAATTGATTTTTATCTACTTTTTGTAATTCTTAGTGAAAAAGCCCGCTAAGCAGAAAAGAATTTCCAGTGGTTCAGTGACAGGAATAGCTGTTGGATGTGTAGTTGCTGTGATTTTAATAGTAATTTTGGCACATTTCATATATAGGCAAAGGTACAGTATGAAATGATTGCTATCCTTTATCGGAATTAAATCAACGCTTCTTTTGCTTTGTATTCAACACCGTGATAACATTCTCGATATATCTATACTTAGCGCAGACTCAGGGATGTGCATAATAATGGCTGTTACAATATACCTCCCACGTAAACCCACATGTATCGTAACTTATGTGCAAACGCTATGCTGATTTCGCTGTGTTAAAAATGGCAGTTGAAAAAAAACCTACCGAACCTTTATTCTTATTCTGAGGCATAACAAAAAGAAATAATGCATTAGAGCACGGAAAAATGTACAGAATCAAAATAAATAAAATTCCGCAAAATTCCATTAATGTTTTTGGCGCTTTAACGTCATTTCAAAATATGACGTCATACGAATGAAAACGCCAAAGCTGAATATTTTTTCCGTTGCGTTAACCCTCCAAATTCGGATAATATTCCATTTAAATGGAGTTTTGAGATAGGTGTTGTTTAAATTTCTATTCTATTATATTATTCGCACACTTACTGATTTCAACAAGTCAACATGGCGGCTCCTTAGTTACGAAATGTCAACAGTGGATTTGACGACAGCTTACGAGAAATAAATATAAATTAAAAATGTCAAATCTTAGGGTTGAGAATTAAAAGAATTAAACACACTTTTCTGGCGGTTATTTAAGAAATGATTCATGGAGGCTATAGATTTATTAAAAAAAAATAGCTTTATCTAACAGGGGGTAAAATAGAACAGCCACACACACGGCATACCCACCTTCGCTCCAGTTTTTTAATGACCGTGTTTGTCCTATTAGAATCGAAATAATTCATGGAAGCCATAGGTTTGCTCTTAATTTACACATGGCATGGGCCGTAATGATCGTTAATTTGATCCCTTGCTAAAGGAGCTACCGTGTTTGTCCTATTAGAATCGAAATAATTCATGGAAGCCATATGTTTGCTCTTAATTTACATATGGCCTGGGCCGTAATGATCGTTAATTTTATCGCTTGCTAAGGCAGCTACCGTGTTTGTCCTATTAGAATCGAAATAATTCATGGAAGCCATAGGTTTGCTCTTAATTTACACATGGCCTGGGCCGCAATGATCGTTAATTTTATCCTTTCTGAGGGAGCTACCTATTGATTTCTATGAGGGGGGAGGGGGCTAGGATGAAATTTAAAAAAAAGGCATGACAGGAGTTTTGAGTAAAAAAAAGGTAGGATGAGCAACTTGGCAAAAGATTAAGGCAGGAAAAAAATCAGGATATACTATCAAAAAAAAGGCCGGACCGAATAGAGAAAAATAATAAAAAAGGCAGGACAGAAATTACAACAAAAAACAAAATGCAGGACAAAATTATTCATCCTAGCTCCCCCCCCCCCCTTCCCCCCCCCCCCCCCATTTGATTTCTATAAGGGGGGGAGGGGAGCTAGGATGAAATTTTTAAAAAAAGGCATGTAAGGAGTTTTGAGTAAAAAAAAGGCAGGATGAGCAACTTGGCAAAAAGAAAAAGGCAGGATGACAATTTATGTAAAAAAAGTCAGGATAAACTATTAAAAAAAAGGTAGGACCGAATAGAGAAAAATAATAAAAAGGCAGGACAGAGATTAAAAAAATGCAGGACAAAATTATTCATCCTAGCATTTATGTAAAAAAAGTCAGGATAAACTATTAAAAAAAAAGGTAGGACCGAATAGAGAAAAATAATAAAAAGGCAGGACAGAGATTAAAAAAAAAATGCAGGACAAAATTATTCATTCTCCCATAAGTTTTTAAGAGGTATCTATGATTTTATTAGTTATGATGCAATTTATTAGAAAATCTTAGAAGTTTAAGATGTGTTATTAAATTCATCTGTTGGACAAAACAAAATGTTACAAAATAATAGTAACACGTAGTTGTTTTTTTAAAAGATATCAGGATATTACTCCAAATATTTATCATAAAGCACTGCTTTTGTTTATTTTATACATGGTGATTTCTCAATTGTTTACATCACTTGTCTTTTTTCCAACCTGGTCTGTTCAGCGCATGCAACAAATACGTTACCATAGGAATCAAATATTGAACATATTGTCATGGAACCTGAATTACAATACTTTAACATTATTTTCATCACAAAGGTACAAAATGCAAACATTTAATTCATACCTACCTCAACTATCTAACATGAATATTTATCCTCAAATGTATTAAAAATATCCAGGTTAAAACAAATACAATTACCTAATTGAACATTAACATAAATATGTCTTCAGAAATGGTCAAATTTTTGTATTAATTCTAATTCTCTTAAATTATTACATAACATAAAATAAAACAAAATTTCAAAGCAGGTAATCAATTTCGAAATGGTACCGGTAAATGGAAACATGGTACTGTTTCTGTTTGTACCGTTTCTGTTTAATTAAATATTTTTAGACTTTCATTTCAAATGTTTGCTTATAAAAGTGATACCAAAGGGACATTCAAACTCACAAGTCGAAA